CAACCAGAAGTCTGGTTTCCCCACCATAGAGTCTCATCCTAGCACAGTATCCTTTTTCCTCTACCTGTCCTAACTGAAAGCCCTATCAATTGTGGAACCGACCAGGGAGTCGCAGCAGAGGGATGAAAGAGCCACATGCGGCTCCAGAGCTGCGGATTGCTGACCCATAAACTAGACCTTATATTAATGTGTGTGTTTGTGCATAAGTATATCAATCTTGGTTGCATTTGAAAAGCTTATCAGAACCTGGTTGGTTCATGGATGGGAAACCTGGAAATAACACTAGAGCTTATGGTAGAATGGAAGTTTTAAAAAAAAACATTGAAAAAGGAGACACTGGCAATCTATTTCCTTATTGCTGCCAAGAAATTGCATGAATGCATCCATGGGATGCCCAGATAAATGGCCAAAGCTCAATAGGTCTAGAGAGGACAATGTTGGGGAAAAAAAAACAATCCTAAAATATGTATGTTGGCTTCTTGTCATCATGATCTTTGATTCTCATAACCTCCAGCAAACTTTAAGGATCATCAAATCCAGCTTGTAGAAATCTCACTGATCTGGTTCAAATGATAGAAAGTTTGCCTCAGGGAAAACAGGTTGCATGGCTTGCAAACAGAAACAAGTTATGTAGAAGGAGTGCTGATGTATGCTCAAGTCACAAGATAAAAGGCTGCTCTGAAATACATGAAAGTGTTCATCCTTCTTTCTCCAAGATCAGCCTTTTGAATAATCCACGAGCTGACCTTAATTGTACAGTTCTCTTCTTCAGTGTGATGTTTTCTTTCTGGAAACTGACAATGGGGTATTAAGAGCCTTGGTACTACAGTGGTTTAAAGCACCCTGTTATTAACACCGCTGCCTGCAATTTACTGCTGGTTCGAATCTCTCCAAGGCTCAAGGTTGACTCAGCCTTCCATCCTTTCTAAGGTAGGTTAAATGAGGACCCAGTTTGTGGGGGCAATAAGCTGACTTTGTATAAATATACAAAAGTATGAAGGCTATTGCTTAACGCACTGTAAGCCGCCCTGAGTCTCCGGAGAAGGGCGGCATATAAATCAAATTAAAAAAAAAAAAAAAAAGAGTTGGATTGTGACCCTAGCCCACATACTGTAGGTGATGGGAAGGCTTTAACTACTTGCTACAGTCCACATTTAATTGCATTGGCAGCACCTCATCAGTTTTAACTGGGTTCAAATGCGAAACTGAGTTGAGTCTGCTAAGTGTTCTCTCCCTGGAAACTGACAATGCTTGGGTGAGGGTGGCTCAGTGGCTAAGACACTGAGCTTGTCGATCAGAAAGGTTGGCAGTTCGGCGATTCAAATCCCTAGTATAGGTCTCCTGCGTGAGCAGGGGGTTGGACTAGATGACCTCCAAGGTCCCTTCCAACTCGGTTACTGTTACCTGTTACCAGAAACTGACAATGCTTTGGTGAGGGGCCCAGGGTTGAAAACTTCATTAGGAAGTCCCTCCATCCAAAAATAAAAATGCCACTGCAAACGTAACATGGATATGTTGATGAAATCACCAAGACTCAACTTGAATTTGAAGGAAAAGTTATTTTTTAAAAAAAAAAAAAAATCTTAATCTTTAAGCTTTCAGTCTTTGCTGGGTGTAATGAAATGTCCAATCCCCCCCCACCCCAACAGAGAGAAATATACCTCAACAATGCTGAATGAAATCCCTTTTCCTATCTGAGAGCATCTTTGTTTTAGGAACAGAATGTTTCTTGTTTCATTTTTAAGATGAGCAATTTCATCTCCTTTTGTGATACTACTCTGCTGGTCTAGGTAAAGGTAAAGGTTCTCCTCGCACATATGTGCTAGTTGTTCCCGACTTTAGGGGGTGGTGCTCATCTCCGTTTCAAAGCCAAAGAGCCAGCCCTGTCTGGAGACATCTCCGTGGTCATGTGGCCAGCATACTAAATGCCAAAGACACATGGAACGCTGTTACCTTCCCACCAAAGGGGGTCCCTATTTTTCTACTTGCATTTCTTACGTGCTTTTGAACTGCTAGGTTGGCAGAAGCTGGGACAAGTCAAGGGAGCTCACCCCATTTTGTGGCAGCACTAGGGATTCAAACTGCTGAACTGCCGACCTGTTGATTGACAAGCTCAGTGTCTTAGACACTGAACCATCGCATGGCTTATAGAATTATAGAATATAAAATTATTTAATAATTATTTAGTCTGTTTAATTCTACAATGACTCTGGGCAGTGTACAACAAACCAATTCTACATTACAATTCAATCCCAAAGCATCTAGGTAATAAAACGTTCTAAAGCAATAAAATAGACACAATCATCATTTTTTTCCTAATTCAAAGCCTGGATGGAAAGGATCTAGTTTTCAGGGCTCTTTTATATACACTGAAGAGGGAAGTAGGCAAATCTCAGGGGGAATATTCCCTAGTGCCACAACAAAGAAGGTGTATTCGTCAACAACCATACTTTATGTGAGCAAATGTATGTGGAACAAAATTAAGGTCCTGAAGTAGTTCAGGATTTCAAGGCATACAGCTGTGATGGTGAACCTGATGGGACCGGAAGTTGGCAAACGTTTCCGGCTTCTGGAGGGCCTCCGGGAGGGGGAAGGCTGTTTTTGCCCTCCCCAGATTCCTAGAAAGGCTCTGAAGGCTGGGGACAGCAAAAAACGGACCTTCTGATCCCACCGGAAGTTGGCAAATGGGCCATATCTGACCTCCGGAGGGCCCCTTGTGGGGGAGGTCATTTTTGCCCTCCCCAAACTCCTAGAAAGGCTCTGGACCCTGATGAGAGAGAAAAACGGGCCTATTGGGCCATCGTGTGCCAGGAGCAGGTGGGAGTGGGGGGTCGCACACGCGGGGGTGAGGCACATAGAATTATGGGTGTGGGCATGCACGTGTGACCCCCCCGTGCCCCCCCTCCCTGCACGTGATGCCAAAAAGGTTAGCCATCACCGGCATACAGCATGTTTCTCAAGAGTCCAGATGGAACGACTGCATAGCATTCTGAATTTGAAGGCAAAACAAATGGAGAGGTGTCTTTCTGAAAGTTATGTGGGATCAGAGGTAATTACATTTTAAAAAGGGAGTTTACATCATGGAAATTAACATTTTAAAAGTTTTCATTCCTGTCACAATCTGTGTTTCGGAAATGAAATAAAGATGATATGCATTAGAAGAAATGATTGGGCAATTCAATTAAAAACACAGTAGGTTAAGATATGACCAAACTTTCATTTGTAGGGAAGTGTCAATGTTTGGTTCCAACATTTTCTATATTTGTTTTAAATCCATAGAAAAAATGGAGGGTTAGTAGATTATACTGCTAAAGAAGACCTGAAGATAGGCAGGATTAATAACAAATTGTGTAGCCCTGAATGAAATTACCGTAATTAGGCTTTGAACTGAAATAATGTGTTTTTAAAGGACATCTAAAATTTTACTGGGGGACAAATAGCTATGTTTATATGGCGTTAATTACAGAAGAGCTACAATTTAGTGGTCAAGTGCAAATTTTTCAGGGAAGTGCTAACTTAAATTTCTGCCCTTTTCAGTTAAAAAGGTTTTGTATAGGCATATTCCTCGGTTAAGATCTCATGTTGATAAAAGATACGATTGCAAAAAATTAATGATCACGCTTTCGTGTCTCCAGAACCTCAATTACTTGACAAATTCTGGGAGGTGAGATTACATAATTAAAGGGGAAAAAAGTAAACAAAGTTGTATTTCGTTGTAACAAGCCTGTATAATACATCCCCCAACAGATCTTGCATTGTTCTCTCTAGTCTTCAGCAGGAGAGGCATCTTAATGAGTTACCTTTCAATGTTTAATTGCTCCACTTGTAAGTTTTATTATGCCTTGCTTTGTCTCTCATTCTACTAAGGAGTATTAGCAGAAACAAACACCAAAGCTACTCTGGTGATATTTAAAGTTATAGTCAATCGAAACAAAACCCTCACTTTTTAAGTGTCTCTGAACACCCCACATACATGACACCTGCTAGCAATATACTTTCTTTTCTTGTTCTTACCATCTACCCATCTACGAAAGTAATTTTCTTGCAAGGATAAATAGAAACTGGCATTTCTCTGGAACAGGCACAGCTTTGTGGAAACCGAGTCACTCATGTGAGATGTGCCCTTAAAACATTGGGGAGTTTAGCTTTAGTAATTAAAATTATATTCTGCTTTTCTTCCAAGATGACACCTGTCATCTTTTTCCTTCTTCTGCTTTATGATGCTACATGTACTATAGGTTGCACTCTTGATTCTCACACCAGGTGTTTGCCTAGCAAAGCAGAAAGCAACATGGGAAATATGGAACCCACTAGTGTAAGATAGAAGATGCTGCAATCTTCAGATGTGTTGGATTCCGGCTCTCAGCACCACTAATCCTTTTAGCCATGGGACAAATGGAACAGGAAGTCTATTTAGAAGGCGTCAGAGTGGAGAAATGATGCCTATATTTAATCTACTGCAATGAATCTATCTCTCTTGAAGATACTCCTTGTCTTACAACCATTCATTTAGTGACCATTCTAACATATGCCACTGCTGAAAAAAGTGACTTATGAAAAGTCCATGTATGTGTGATTGTTGCAATATCCCTGCAGTCAGAGGATCAAAATTTGAGCCCTTGGCAACTAGCATACATTTATGATGACTGCAGTGTCACATGATCATGTATGTGTCACATGATCACCATTTGCGACTCCCGGCCGGCTTCTGACAAGCAAAATCAATGGGAGGAGCCAAATTCAGATAATGAACCCATGCTTCACTTAACAACCATGGCAAAAAATGGTCATAAAATCAACTGTGACTCACTTAGCTTGCTTAAGCAATGGAAGTTCCAGTCCCAATTGTGAACGTAAGTCGAGAACTACCTACTTGTATTGACATGTATTGTTCTTCATCATTACAAAGACCTAAATCTTTTTCTTGTCAAGAGATCTCTGGGTAAAGTATTTGTGGGTTGTGTCTATCTAATGAGGAATCAATGCAGAAATGTATTTACCTTCATAGGTTGCTTTGAACCCTAATAGGTTCCTCACACTATCAGTCTGGAAGAGGAGCCACATCTGATGTTGAGTGCTGACAATCAGATCAGGGACGGTTGTACCTGTTAAACTGTCAAGAAAGAGAAGAAACTAAAGCAGCAGCAGCAGCAATGATCAATTGTGGAGGTATCTGAGGATGGAAGAAACAGCTCCTTCTCAAAGAGAACATGTTAAGAGAAGTAAATGCAATGTTGCTAAAATGACTAATAGAGAGAGGGAAGGCTTTGGCTGGGATCACTTCTTTGCCAAATGTTTGGAGCAAAAACTAGTAGCATTGATTTTTCTAAGGCTATCTCTACTATTAGGTAGAGATAGTGATGGCCATTTTACATAGCAGATGCTGAGTTCATGAGGAATGGATTTTGGAGGACTGAATTCTGCATGTTCCCCTCACATCATTAATTTGCAAGTCCTCAGACATAGCAGAAAATGTTATTGTTATCACCCTAAATTGACTTACACGCAGTGGTGAAATCCAATTTTTTTTTACTACCGGTTCTGTGGGCATGGCTTGGTAAGCGTGGTGTGGCTTGGTGGGCATGGTGGGGAAGGATATTGCAAAATCTCCATTCCCACCCCACTCTGGGGCCAGCCAGAGGTGGTATTTGCCAGTTCTCCGAACTGCTCAAAATTTCCGCTACCGGTTCTCCAGAACCTGTCAGAACCTGCTAGATTTCACTCCTGCTTACATGATACGTATGGAATAGAGGAACACAATCTTGTATTCACCACAGCCCTGACCCTTCATCCCAAGTCAAGCAATACAATGATAATACAGTAAAACCTGTTGCATTTTTGTTACATCTTCTTGCTCTCTCTCACGCTGTCCCGTGCTTTGATAAATGGATGCATATTTCTAATCTACTTAGGTTTCCAAAATGAAGTAACAGTTCAGGGTTTCCTACACCTATAAGCCAATACAATAGTTTTAATGTTCCACAATAGAATTTAAGAACCAAAAATGAGCTATGGGGACCTTTTCAAAATGTGGTGATGCAAATGAGTCCCACAAGTAAAATTAAAAAGCAAATACAAAGTATATCAAATAAGACTATTTGTAGAAACTTCTACCAGTATATTGCTAAACTAAACTATAAATTGTATCACTAGAAACCAAAAGAACCTTTGACTCTGTGACTTCTCATTTCCATGCAGTTTAGACAATAAACTGCATGGAAACTTGCCTATTCAACCATGCACACAGTAGAAATGCCAAAGCATATACCACAAACTGACATCAAAACTAGAAATAACAACCTGATGCCTGGGACTTCCTTGATCAGTGTCATTCTATATTCGGTACTGATAGATCAAGAATGATCTGATGTGACCAGATATGACAGTAAGGAAACAGTAATGAAATTGTCAAAACCTTAATTGAGAGTCCCAGATGAGAGGATCATCATTTAATCCAATGCTCTGAGGCTGATTTTGTTATAGATCAATTCATTCCAAAATAACTCAGCAACATTTCTATCAGAGTGAGCAAGTTTGAGGTTTGTGGGATTGGGGTTTTTTTTCCTCTTTGTTTTTATAACAGCATCACATCAGATGCCCAGTTGCGGCTTTACTAGGTCTCTCTGTGTATACTGCAGCATGTTTCTTGTTTTCCATGGTAAAGTGTTCTCAAAACGTGCTTCTTGTGTTATGTATGACAAAGAGGGATGTTTTAATTCTTGCTTTTGCTAAATAGATTATTACCCTTGATTATCTACTTATAATCTCTAGCAATCAACCATTAGATCCTGTTCTACTGACTTTACACTGCTAGTTCTAGTGTATTCCTCCCCAGTTTCCTTTTTAAAATAGTTTTTATTAAAGGATTTTACATGTATAATAAGATACACGCTGAAATAAAAAGATATGATAAATGCAAAAGAAGGCAAAAAGAAAGGAAAAGATGATACAAAGAAAAAAGGAGAGAGAAAAAAGAAAAGGGAAAAAATAGAAAGCATGAATGGAAAATAAAAGAAACAGCTCCGATAGAAGAAAATATTTGTAAATCAGGGCTGAATTGTGGGTGCTCTCTGAGCTTGGTTGTTTTCTTATAGACATTTTGTTACTTGACTAGGTAACATGATCAGTACTAGAAGGAAGTGGGGTTTGCACTCATTTTATATACTAATGGCTTGCCTTGTCTGTACTGGAAGGAATGTTCTTGGTGGTTCCTTGATTAGGCTGTGGTTACTGTTAGCTTAAAAAGAGCCTTGGTAGTACAGTGGTCTAAGGCACCCTGTTATTAAGCTGGTTATTAAGACCAGCTGCCTGCAATTACTGCAGGTTCGAATCTCGCCAAGGCTCAAGGTTGACTCAGCCTTCCATCCTTTCTAAGGTAGGTAAATTGAGGACCCAGTTTGTGGGGGCAATAAGCTGACTTTGTATAAATATACAAAAGGATGAAGGCTATTACTGAGCACATTGTAAGCCGCCCTGAGTCTCCGGAGAAGGGCGGCATATAAATCAATTAAAAAAAAAAAAAAAAGGGACGTGGTGGCTCAGTGGCTAAGATGCTGAGCTTGTCGATCGAAAGGTCGGCAGTTCAGCGGCTTGAATCCCTAGTGCCGTGTAACGGGGTGAGCTCCCGTGATTTGTCCCAGCTTCTGCCAACCTAGCAGTTCAAAAGCACGTGGAAAATGCAAGTAGAAAAATAGGGACCACCTTTGGTGAGAAGGTAACAGTGTTCCGTGCACCTTTGGAGTTGAATCATGCCAGCCACATGACCACGGAGATATCTTCGGACAGCGCTGGCTCTTCGGCTTTGAGTTCCCGACTCCCTAGAGTCGGGAACGACTAGCACATATGTGCAAGGGGAATCTTTACCTTACTGTTAGCTTGTTTGCCTGAGCTGGTAGTTCCCGGACTGGATTATTGGTCTAGTATTAGACCAATTCTTGTCTAGTATTAATCTTGGCATTAATCTCTGCTTATATGGGTGTTGATTGCTGGTGGAGTTTTGGTCTTTTTGTTTCCTTTTTGGCTTTTTTTTTCATTTCACCTACTTCGTTAATGAAATGACTACAAGAAAACAACCAAGCTCAAAGAGTACCATGGACCCCACAAAAGGAATGGCTTCTAGTTCTCCTCTCAGCAGTCATACCTACAAGTCTAAACCCTCTCTTTAAGATTACATCATAATCCCCTTCTTTCTGTAACCAATTCTTTCTAATCATCAAACTGTAAGTCACAAGGTCTCTCCCATTCCAGAAAGCAGCAAAATATGAAGTTCATTGCCCTAGAAAGATTCCCTAAGAAAGTTCATCTGCCTAATCAATATAGATGAACACAGATAAACAGATATGCGTTTGTGTACATGGACACACACATCAGATTTATACGAAACCAGATCTGAACAATTTTTCTCATCTCATTAATTTTTCTTTTTTTGTCTGCTGCATGCTTTATATGAATCTAATTTTTATTCCTATTTCAACATTTAAAGAAATCATTTTATTAATATGTTAAGATTGCACTTTGGTTATCTTATTGATTATAATTTTGATACAATTGTTCAAACTGTTTGTTGTTTTTTTAACTGGTTTATGTACAGTGGATTGCAAAATGAAGTCCCCATCCTGTTCATAATGAGGATAAAAGAAGAAGCCCATGTAATTTAATCATCAGTAGCCGATGTATCTCAAAGCAAGATTATGTATCAGATAAACATTTGCATATTGTTTTGGAGCACCCTTGCTGAAATCTCCAGACAAAACTTTTTAAGTGGCTTGAAATTGTTATTCTGTCCAGTGAAAAAGAAGGACCAGGGGCCACATGAAGCAGTGTCCCAATATTTAAGGGGCTGCCACAAAGAAGAAATGTCAACCTATTTTCCAAAGCACCAGAAGGCAAAACAAGAAACAACGGATGAAAAACTAATCAAAGAGAGAAGCTAGAACTAAGGAGAAATTTCCTAACAATGAGAACAATTAACCCGTGGAGTGCCTTGCCTTCAGAAATTGTGGGTGCCCCATCGCTGGAGGCTTTTAAGAAGAGACTGGACAGCCACTTGTCTGAAATGGTATTGGGTCTCTTGTTTGAGCAGGAGGTTGGACTAGAAGACCTCCAAGGTCCCTTCCAACTCTGTCATTCTATTAAATCAGTCATCATAAGCATAACTGCTCATCCTGAATTTTTTTGACTAATGGAATATTTTTAAAAGTACTTGAATATGGCATTGGAAAATCCTTGACCTGGTTTATACAGAGATAAGCTCTCATAACTGCCATTTTCTTTTGTACTCCATCTTATCTGATAAGAGTTACAAGATTGGAATTAAGAAGAGTGAAAGCTAGAAGTCAGCTAGCTTTCTATCTTTATTCTATTGTTCTCCAATGAAACACAAAAGAGGAACTATCCTCCATAATCCAAAAGAGGAACAATATTGTGGTCTGCTGGTGGCCAGCAGAGCTGGCAGCAGAGTCGGACAGTGAAGAGGTTGGGGAAGAACATGGGCCAGTCCTGGGGACTGGGGAAAGCTCAGATGAGGGCTCTGTGTCAGAGGCAGAGAGGGAGGTAGACAGCAGTGAGGCAGAGGAACAGCTGGAGCCTGTTCCCAGTGTGCGCATACACAGAGCTGCCAGAAAACAAGAACAATTAAGAAAGCAGGGTCAACTCGGGAGTAAGGCCACACCTTGGAGGTGATTGGCCCCTTCCATAGGAAATAAAAGAGGAGCGAACAGGGAGGGGGCTTTTGCAGGAAATAATTACTTCATTCTGTGATTCTGAGAGACTCTGTTCCAAGTTTTGCCTTGTACTACATTTGGAAACAATTTATGTGGCAGCTTGCCAAATGAGATAAGGTGTGTTGAGAAATATTCCTTTGAAAAACTGTTTGGACAAACCTTGCTGACTGCGAATGAACATAATTCAGTCATGTAAATAAAAGAGGTTTTGCCAGTAATTCCTGCCTCCTGCTTGTTAAGGGAGCCTAGGTCAGAACAGAATTCTCTCTAATCCAGATATGGGAACTTTGCTCCAGCCTGTGTAATAGGTAGTCCTTGCAACAGATGAGGTCATTTGTGAGATTACCACTTTTTTGCAAGGTCCAGTTTCCACAAAGACCAACACAGCTTG